CCATCCATCCATCCATCCATCCATCCATCCATCCATCCATCCATCCATCAATCAATCTTCCATTTCTTTTGCCCGATTTCTGTGGGACCCGGGTTGGCGGTAGGTCAGCATAGAAATCATGTGTTTGAAAGAAAAGCCTTCCTACAGGCAGCAACCCCCACCCCAACCCTGCCCGGAACATCCTCTGGATGTATCCCGCTGCCTTCTTCTTGTCTGAAGACAATCCGGCCAGGAGGTTTATACGCCCGTTGTACTGTATCTGCTTCTCGGTAGAAACCATGGTTCAACAGATCACCATCACTAGCGGGGCAGTGATGATGATCACTGGTATCTTCTGCAGATATTCCGCCAGGATTTCTTTACTCTTTGCCCAAAAGGACATCTCTTTCTGGAAAGGGAAAATGATAGGTGTGACTGAGAAGACCTCGGGCAATGGAGCTCTTGTTGAGGTGGGAGATTAACCGGAGGGGCCTTGAGACGCGTCTGAGGCACGGCGGTGCTTAAAGGAATGTCCAAGTTGGCAGAAGAGTGTAAAACCTTAGAGGTTAAGAACATAAGCTCTTCGCCCCTTGACAGCTAAAGCAGCAAGGTCTCTCACCCCACTCACACTCCGTTCCCTCGCTCCTTCCCTACCTCTTTTCTCCCGCAAAAAGCTCCTTCTGAGCTCTCTCTTCGGCATTTTCCCCCTCTTGAAGTAAGTGGGACGGGCAGCATGATTCAAAAACTCAGCTACACTCGATGCTCAGAGCTGTTTGGGTCCCACTGAAGGCAACTGTGCTTTCTCTCGAGTTGAAACCTCTGGCGCTAATGTCGAAAATGTGGTAAAGAGGGTTTAAAAAAGCTTGTTCATTATGGGCAAGTCGATGTGTGGCGGAGAATCAAGCAACGCATCCGTCGAGAGAAACCGCTTCACAAGAGCGCAAGGCATTTGAACAATGGAATCTTAAAGCTGCCACCCTATCGGCACACTTGCAAGCGGGGTGTGTGTGTGGGATAAGGTCCTCTACACTCAGAGGCCTTTCTTTGGAACAGTTAAGCACACAATAGCTCCAGATCGGTTTTATGTCCTCTTAGGTGTCTGGAAAGGAATACTGAGCCTGAAGCTACTTAGGGAGCTTTCACAAGTGAAGCTCAGAAGTGATGGTGAGAAAGTTCTGACATAGCAAATATTGTAATTCAAGACAGAGCAAAAGAGAATATATATGTGTCTTTTGCAGCTGAATGCACATTGTAGCCAAATTACCTTTCTGTGATGTAATTTTTAAAAAAAGTAGAGTGGGACACTCGAATTTATGAAACTGCCTACCACCTGAAACTCACTAAATCCCAGTCTTGGTGCTTTGAATGAGTGGTTTAGAGCCTCAGTGTTTAGGGTGATGTTTTGAGAGGCTATGCCATTGAACACACTGGGTCTTACTTTTAAGCAAATGTAAATCATTAGGTGGATAATAAACATAGTCAATTAAAAAAAATTAAGGAAACAAGCCATCATGTTTTTTTTTAAACTGTGCTTTTATTCTGTATTTAGTGTAGACTGAGAACAGCCTCCAGTCATATGCTCCAAAAAGTCTGAACCGAAAGTTCATCTAAAACATGAGCCACTGGCATGCAAGTTTCACTAACTGTATTTCACACCAGCAAAAGAAATTTGCTCAGTGCCCTCCAACTTCTGTGTATCTGGTGGAAAATCACTTCAAGCCATTCTCAAGTGCACAAAATAGACGAAGTCATACAGAAACAAAGTTTTGGTTTGAGTAATAAATACCTTTATTGGACAACTGAAAAGTTACCAGTAAGTAGAGCTTTTCAGTGAGGCTCAGACAGATATTATGTCTGGGCCAATTTTTGGACTATTTGCCTTAATCCTAAATTTTATATCACCTTTGCTTAATGACGCATTCTGAAATGCAATGAAGCACCTTTTATATCACTTAACTCTTTAGTGATCCAAGTAAAGTATTGCCCAGCCCAGGAAATGATAAAGTCAGAAGCATCCTTCACAGTCCTTCAAATGCATCTAATAAAAGTAAATTACACTGTGTTTAGCATGCTTTATTTCCAGGTAAGTGGGCGTGGGATTCAGCCCTCAGCCTGTAACACAACAGACATTACATAGATATTTCCTTAAATTGGACTGTAATGCAAATGTAAAATTGCTTGTCTAGGAACAGATTGCAAACTGGCTCTGTTCTTTCTTTCCTTACATTACCGCTACTCACACAAGGGAGTAAAAAGTGGAAGAAGTCCAGAAAGATTTTTGTGTGTTTGTTTTGGTCAGGGAGGTGCATGGAAGCTCCAGGAAAAATCGGTGGCTTTGGAAAAACCAGCAAGACATGCACATCGCTGGAAAGCACTTGCAGGCAAAAACAGTCCAGCAGCATTTTAAACTCAGAATTCTCTTTCACTTGCATCTCAGCCTTAAATACTCACAAGTGACTAAAGCATGTTCTGAGCTCCACTTGAGGAATGCCTTTTGATGGCTTTCAAACACAGGGCTGTATATATGCATTGCTACACACCTAATTGTTGTTGTTACCACCACCACCACTCATTAGAGTATGTGAGCTACCATCTTCCCTGCCTGCTAGAAAGATCAAGTATGAGAGTGTTCCATACTTCAGCTCAATTAAAGGTTAAGGACCTGTACTAGAGTGTCGGTGCAAAGGCTTGGGAAGGCAACAAAATCAGAATTAGTTAGCCCCACCTCATGCTGACTTTGGCTTCCATGGATCTTCTTGCGCCACCAGTCTAGTAGGATGGCATTACTTTTTGGCCTGTGCTTGGAAACAGCAAAATGCAATAAGGACAGAGAAGGGAGATTTACAGTATTTGTTGTTGGTTTTCCTTGAAAGAGTTCTTACATGTTTCATTGTCTCTGGTGAGGTACAGACATTGTGATGTACTGGTTCCAGTACTGGACTAAGATCCAGAAAATCAGATCCAGAAGTCTTCACTGGGCTTGAAACTAACTAGGTAAACTAACTAGGTGATCTGGGGTCACTCATACAATCTCTGTCTGCTCTACTTCACAGGGTTGTTGTGAAGATCAAGTGGGAAGAAGAGTCATGAGGGCTGCCTTGAGTTCCTCGATGGAAAAACAGGCTATCCATATAACAAATAAAACAATTTAAGTGCACTGTTGAGGACTGCAACAAAGCTTATGGCAAATAATAGAGGTGCAACAAAAATTTCTCTTTTCCTTGTGATTTTTTTTTTGAGAAGGATTATTGCTGTTAAACACAAATCTAAAAACTGGTGAAATGAGGAAGCAGGACAGTTCTACCCCTTGCAATGGAATGTGAGGGAAATGTTATGAGATACCTATTATTCTGATTTTTTTTTTAAAAAAACTCTTTTTAGATAATTCGATGGTGCTGATGATGGTGAGAAAAGATTGTCAACAGAGGTGCAGGAATTGTCCATGAGAAGGAAACAGGAGGAAAGACAGGTCTTTAGAAAAGAGGGTGGAAAATTTCCACAGGAGAGTGGGGAATTGGTGCAACAAATACAAGGGACAGAAATTTGTGTTTTTGATCCAAGGCAGAAAGAGCTGAACATGAACGGAACTAAAATAAAATATATTTGCTTTCCCCCATTCTGACCTGTTCCCTACTTTTCCCTCCAATTTTGATTAGCACTGTTAAGCATTCCAGTGAAACTTTCAAGGGGGACAGTAAACTCATTTTTAATTTGTGTTGGGAGTCTCCGCTCTCAGACCAACCAGAAAAAGGAAAGGAGAGCAAAAACAATCAATCAAACAAAAATGGTCAATGATGCGTTATTTTCTTAGTCCCACATCGCTTTTCAGGGCAGGATTGCCTAAAATGTTTCCACAAAAAATTCCCATTTCATCCTTGGAACTATTTTGGGAATACGCCGGGAGAATTTTTTTAAAAAAAACAGTGATTGGATGGCTCATGGTTACCCTGGAATTTAAAAAAGGGACCTGCTCTGCCGAGATCTGGCACCTCTACCCGAAAAGTACCACAACTCGCCCTTATTACTTCAGGAGCTTGGAGGCACACCTCAGGAGTATCTTTATATCTGGGGAAGAAAAAAAAAACGCAGAAACCCAGAAATCCCTCAACAGGGCTGGTTTGCCACGCTTCTGTCTCCCGAGTATTACATGTAAAATGAGTGGCTGGTGCCACTGCTGCCCATGCTACACACCCCGTGGGTGTAGGTTAGGTTCCTACCCCAAACACAGGCTTTCTGCACGGGGTTTGTTCTAGAGAAGTGGTTCCCAGCCTCGGGTCCCCAGATGTTCTTGGACTAAAACTCCCAGAAGCCTTCACCGCTAGCTGTGCTGGCCAGGATTTCTGTGAGCTGTGGTCGATGAGCGTCTGGACCCCCAAGTCCGGGAACCACTGTTCTAGAGAAACCTTGTGAAGGGGGCCTCAGATCCATATTGCGGCTATCCCTAGAAAGGTTCCCTGGATATTCAGTAATGGCCTTTGACGCCGATAAATGGCAAAAAGGTGGGAAAGCAGGACGTGGAGTCCCAAACGGGTGGAATGGATTGATCCACTTTGGACTGCGGGGGCGGGGAGGAGACCCCGTTTTAATGCCTCTTCATTGAAAACTAGAAGAAGGCAGCTAAAAGCTTTTTGGTGAAGATTTGAATTGCGAGGAATTTTGATTATTGTCTTTTGTACGTCACATCGAAAAGTACGAAATACTTTTTTTTCAAATTACAGTGGAATCGCCTACTCTGAGGACTCCACCTATATCACCACAGCCTTCTACCACGCGCAAAAGCTCTAATGTTATTTTATGTCCGCCGACAAGAAATGGCGGATCGAACTGTAGCCCAGGGAAAGAAACTGGGGGAAATCGGATTCCTTTGCTAAAGCTAGTGGGCGTGAGGCGGGCGTGCGGTTTAGGGACACGAGCTGCTGAAAATAGGGCTCGATCGCCTTCCCCTAGGCTTGCTCCGACCCCTCAGCGGCAAAGGCTCGGCTTTCCTTTGGTTCCTCAGCCTGTGACTCTTCTCCATCTCAAGGGGCCAATATGGCGTCCCCACAAGCCCCGAGAAGCCCCTGGCCTTGCTTTCGGGAAGGGCAGACCGACTGTAGACATCGGGGCCCCTTAGGATAGGAGGGCGACCACTTTATTTTTTTAGTACAGTACCTCGCTTGTATCTTTCTTTCACGGATGCCTCGTTTCCCCCCCCCCCCAAGGCAATCCAAGATGGCTTACCAACCGATTCCCCCTTCCCCCCCCCCCCCAAGGCAATCCAAGATGGTTTACCACAGGATTAAAAACCAGATACTGTACAACTAATAAACAAGATTAAAGTAAAATACTTAAATAAATATATAAAGCCCTAACTTAAAAAAAGAATAAAAATAAACAATCGTTGCTGCACCCCCGCATTAAAAGTTCCTTCCTCGACAACCCATTCAAGACTTCTTTAAGGACGAGGTGACTGGACAGTGTTTTGCATCGTATTCGGATAAGTATGTGTGTTTACACTTTCGGAGAAAGGTTTGGGTGTGCAGGTATGCGTACAGCGTGGATCTGTTCCTGGTGGAGCTGCAGTCCAAAATTTTGGGGAGAGTCCCCCCCCCATCCCCACCCTACGGCGGTCCCGTCACAGTCCCTTGGAATAGGCATACCGCCAAATTTCAGGACAGATTAGATGACCGGGAACAGCCACAAGCCTGGCCTTTAGCAAATGTGAAAAAGAAGCCACCGCATTTGGTTTTAATTTGTAGGTATCGGCCAAGAACCTATCATCCCTGCCCATCTGTCTCATCCCCATCGAATAAACCCAAAACAGTGCTTCTGGCTCTGGATCCCAGGTCTGGAATTGCCCTGGAAAAGGATGTCGACGGGCTTCCTTGCCTTTTTAAAAAGCGACGGAAAATCAAGCCCCTCAGTAGTTGATCCCGAGGCCCCACCTACTTCCAATCTTTCTACGGACACCACTTGTCTCATCTGCTTTCTTCCCGTCAGGTCTGTGAAATTTCAGGTAAACTACCTGAGTCAACACCCACGCTCTCATCTATGCCAACTTTTACGCCCTAGGAGTTGTGGTTTCAGCGTGATTTGAGCAATACACCTCAATTTCCGATGCTAAATTTGGAGTTCTTTGTATAGGAATAAACCTCCCCGTTTTTTTTAAAAAAGGAATTTATTTTGTACTATCTAGAAAAAGAAGTCCCGGGTTTGGTGTAGTGGATAGAGTGACGGACTATCCCTCTGGAGAATAGGGTTCGAATCCCTGCTCAGCCATGGAAATTGCCTGGGGGAGTGGAACAGGTAAAATCACTCCTTATATATCTCAATTACCTTGAAGGCCCTACTAGGGTTCTTACAAGTCGGTTCCGATTCATTTTATGGCACTTTAAATTTCGATGGGGCGCAGAGCCTAATTCGTCAATTCGAAGGAAACCTGATGTCTCAATGTCCTAAGCAAATCTCAGTGATGCCAGTGCTTCAATCAAGGCTGTTTCTTTAATTCAGGATTGTTTCTGTACTTGTTTAATGCAGTGTCATACATTTTATTGGATATTAGGGACAAGGGTTCGAACACAACACAGAAGAACAAGTAGAACCTACTAAACAGCAAAACAGCACTGTTAAAAAAGAGGACAAGAGCGCAGTTAAAAAAAAAGATAGAGGAGATGCTTTCTTAAGAAGCCTGAGAGAATAGGAAGATCATTACTATTTTCAGCTAAGAAGCTCACAGAATTGGGGTCAGGTAGCGACCACCACTGAAAAGTCCCTCTCGGATTCAAAGAGTTCACACAAACGAAATCGAACTGATTTGCCTCCCTAGTTCACCCGGAAGTAAATCTCAAATATGTTGGTGGGATTTATTTCCAAGAGGTGTATCTAGAATAAAGAACTAGCCCTGCTTAAAGACTTAAAGGTATATCTAGCCCACTAACTTATTTTTAACAGTGTCAAAAGAGTTGTTTTCTCTGGGACGCCGGGCAGCAAGCTATAAAAGCAATCACCCTCACTTTCTCTTTAACTTGCTCTCTGCAGTGATATGTTGAGATATGTTGCCTTTGTACCAGAGAGGGGTAAGAAAAATGACTTGGGGGACCGCAAGTCTCAGAATCCCCCCAAACCCTTTGGGATCAGAGAATGGGAAAACTGCTCGGCATGGCTCTCGGGGATTCAAGACCTACACTTGGAAGAAAACCCAACAACCCTTTTTCAAGCTCTGCTCTAAACAAAGGCTCTTACATATCAATGGCTAACAGACGTTGATACGCCAGTCTTCCTTGAGGAAAGGATGTGCAATTTCTTTCTAAACCGACTGACTGGTTTAACGCTTTCCAGGTACGATTTTTAGAGGGTATCTAGAATAGCGGAGCTGCCCCGTTCCATGTTGGTCTTGACAACTCATTAAGAGCAACAGACACACGATGTTAGGCCTTATGATCAAATTTCTGTGGGGTAAGTTCCAGTCAAGTAGTGAGATATTTACTATTGCTCTGAATCATCGTGGTGAGAAGAATGCTGTGTAGAAATGTCATTTTTCTGAAACCACCAGGAAACAAATGGCCATCACTCAACACGGAATCCAGAATGCTTTGTTTGCAAATATATTTAAGGGCTGTAAACCTATCCCTGATTTCCAACAGTTATCGCTTGGAGTAACTCAGATAGAATCCCCTATTCGCTTGTGATCTTACAAATCTTACTGCCTCTATTTTCCTTCATTGGATTGTTTGCGTCATGTCATAAGGATTGTTATTTCTGAGCTGCAAAACTAAATAAGCCATAGGAAATATATTTATTAACAAATAACCATTTTAACGGAAAGATCCAAATTGCAAGTTCATGTAGAGGCACTATACACCCAAGAAAGGATTTATAATAGTGCACCTTGTGTTCACACAGTAGGGACAAACGAATGGCTGAAGCAAAGGTACATTATTGGCCTGCAACTCTCAGAAAAAAATGGGAAAAATATGTTGGACTGCACCCCCCCCCCCCCCAGAATCCAGTGTACAAACAGATTGGAAATTGCACTATTAAAAAGTAATTTTTTCCAAGCTCTGGATTTAAGATGTCTATCCCAGTTATTCTTTACATATACTGTATGCAAGTATTAAAGCCAGGAGCTGGATTCTATATTATGTAACCTTGTAAGCAAAAGAATATATATTTGCAATATGTCATATTGAGATATTACACAGAATTTGTAAAAGCATTTTAAAAAATACTTCACACA